CGGGCGGGGCAAGGGTACGTCGGGGATTGTGCTCGGCGACGGGGAGAAGAATCGATAGGTGATTAGTCTATCGATCAGCTCAGTCGCAAGTCAGATCTCTTTAGAGGCACTCTGCAGCATGCTCAAAGTTCTCCGACTTGGGCGGAAGTCACACGAAATTTTAAACGGCTAGCAAGCCAATTACTAGCCGCCACGTAGGAATAATTTAGAACTAGCCAATAGTGGGACACAAATTTGCATTCGAATGGCAGGAACTCTCTTGCACCGGGGTTTTCTGCTGCAACAGAAAACCTTTTACTTTGCAAGAGGCTCTCATGTGGCGGGAAAATTCCATCGTGCCGAGGCACCAAAATCACTGGGTTGTGACAAGTACAACCACTGGTGGAACTGTTGTAGTAGCATGGCTTTGATAGGAAATTTGCAGAAGTAATATCAGAACGTAAGCAGTTTCTTTCTGGTAAGTTTTATTTCCCCAAATCCAACCCTGTGTTCTCTATTCTTACAGCTCCGACTCCTCTATGAGTGCAACCCTATGGCTTTCATCATGGAGCAGGCAGGGGGGATGGCTACCACTGGAATTGAACCAGTGCTGGATGTGAAGCCTGAGTCCCTTCACCAGCGAGTCCCTCTTATTCTTGGTTCCCCAGATGATGTGCAAGAGTACCTTGCCTGTGTGCAGAAGCACCAGAAGAGCAGCTAATGCAATTCATAAACCAGATGTTGCTCATGCACCTGCTTTAATCCTTCTGCAGGAAAAAGAGAGTAAATTAGACAACTTGGTTTCCAGGAGATCAGTTCCCTCCTTTAATTGACGACAATAGAAATCATGAAGGTTATTTCTAAGAAAAGAAGGTTTACATTTTCTTTACACACAAAAGAAAAAAAATCCTTTAGTTTCAGATTGTACTGTAATGCAACAGTAAAAGCAAAGGCCTATTGTCAACACTAACAGCAACTATTAGCTTCTTACTAACAAAAGTAGAAGATTGTTTAGGTGACAGCCCATTTTACCTGACATAGCAATAATTGGAATTTTGAGACAAAATTCAACATCCAGGACTTCACATAGAGACAACTTATCTGTCCTTTCTGTCCAAGTTTTTTCTGGCAGGTGCTTTTTATCTTTATCATTAGACTCCCGATCTCTGAGGTATTGTGTTTATGTTCCAAATGATATTTGCCTTGGGTAATTAATAAAGATGAAAACTGAACTGCCTTACTGTCTGTTCCCATGGGAATGGAAAGAATCTCGATATGATAATTAGTAAAGGTGCACCGATACATCGGTCCATATCGTATCAGCACTGATCAACGCAAAATTGACATTATTGGCATTCGGCTTTTTTTGGCTGATAATGTCACCAATAAATGCTGTGCACAGCTGGAGCATGCACATGGCCAGCCTGGCAGCTTGGAGACCAGCATCCAGGTGGTAAGTCTGTTGGGAAGGAAAGGTGGGGGGGGAAGGAAAAGGGGAGTGCAGGGGACAGATCGAGGTCCCAGCAGTGAGGGAGGAGGGGAGATAAGGCTGGGGGCAGGCGTTGTCCAACTGGGGCAGGGGGCAGGACGGAGCCATGAGTGGCTGGTCCAGGGGCTA